CTTTATGTGCTATGTGATTCCTACCAGGACTTAAGTCAGTAGATTAGACCAGCCGTCACGGGTTTGTTATGATTCACCTTGTGATTTACAATATCTGTCAAGCTTATTCATATAGAGAATTTCCCCCGCGGGTTCTGCTGTGTCTTGAGCTAAACAGTACACTAACTACACTGACCTAATACTTTTCATGTCTCTCCCTTTTCTTACTCTGTCAGAAGGAGATGCTAACTTTGAAGAACTTTAGGTTGTCCTGTGTGTCTTCAGTGATTTATTAAGCAAAGCATTTGTAGAATGCCTACTGAATAACAGATGCCCTGTGTCAGGAATCCACAGTTCACAAGGAGAATGTTCTGGAATGACCAGTGAGCGAATAAGTAATTCACCGCTGTGACAGAGACAAGCATGCAGTGATGTGCACACATATGGAAGGGAGAGCTAACCCAGACTGCAGACAGGGCCTTCCCAGGAGGTGACATGAGCTGAGTTTTGAGTTAACTGTGTTGTGCAAAGCAGGGGGAAAGGTCACTACACGGGATTCAACCTGCACTCACACAGGCGTGGACCCACCTTTGCAGGTCAGGGTAACTGCAGAAGTTCACTGTGGCCAGGGGCAGAATGTCAGGGCTCAGCAGGAGGGTATGGGGTGGAAAAGTTGGCTATTAGTGTTACTAAGTAGCAGTAGTAATAGAATCAAATTAAATTCAAATGTAAAGCTGTTCCAGCAAGTTGCTTTTGGAACTTGATGCACTAATTCTGAAATTCATCTAGAAGAGCAAATGTGCAGAACAGCCAAAAAAAATTTGGAAAAGAGTAATGAGCTATCGAATGGAACTGTAATTCTCTAGTGCTTCTAACAGCCTGTTACCAGGACAGGAGCAGACGGATGGATCCAAGAAATGCAGGAGAGAGAGGAGAAAAGAAACAGGTGCGCACTTGGAGACCAGGTAGTCATGAGGGGGCCTACCAGTTACTGAGGAAATGGTGACTCACATCCAGTAATGAGTGCTAAAAGCCACATGCAAAAAAATACCAGAACTGCTGAAAGATGACATGAGAGAATTTGCCAAATCTCAGAATGAAATTTTCTCTTAGTCATAAGCCACGAAAACAAAAGCTGATGAATTCGAATATAAAAACATAAAAACTTTTATATAAGACCATAAATAAAGTCTGAGAGGAAATGTTTACAATGTACATAGCAAAGGGTAAATATCTCAAAAGTACCA